TTTCAACAGTGGTTTACTACGGAGCGTTGTAACTTAGAGAACATTATGAAACCTGCAGATGAGCTTGCCACGTACTTCGTAGATAAAATTGATAAGTTAATCACTCATGACTTTATTTGTAAAGAACAATCTTTATTTCTAAGGAAAAATCTAAGAAAGAATCTCTAAAAGAAGATGAATTAATTGTAATTTGCGATTTCTCTGAGAACTATTGATTTATTATTCAGAACGCTGCTCAGGGTTACCATTGGAATAACGCTCAGGCAACTATTCACCCTTTTGTGGTTTATTATATTAAGGACAGTAAAGTAGAAAACGTTAGTTTTAAAATAATATCAGAGGTATTGGCTCATGATACAATAGCAGTTTATTTGTTCATTTCAAAACTGATAGAGTTCTCCAAAATTACATTTATGTCAGATGGAGCAGCTGCTCATTATAAGAAAAAAAATTGCCAGCCTATGTAACTTTAAATCAATGCACAAATTGGAAGCAGATTGGCATTTATTTGCAACATTTCATGTCAAAGGTCCCTGGTGGAACTTTAAAACGAATGGCAAAAAGAGCAAGCCTTGCCCAAGAATACGGAAATACTATTACAACCCCACGAGAGCTCTACGACTGGGCAGTTAAACAAACAAAGAAAAGCATCACAAAATTGAATTTCTGTTATATATTTACTGAGCAATACGAAAAAATGTCAGAAGACCTAGAAGATTTGTTTCACCACGCAAAGACGATATCTGGTACACAAAAATTACACAGTTTTCAGCCTATTGCCGATAATCAAATTGCAGCTAAAAAATATTCTAATTCAACGGGTCATCCAAAAAAATTTACTTTGCTGGACAATGTTAAGAAATAATATAAGTAGTTCTCTAAATAAGATAAAATTAAAATAACACCATTTTTTCATACTCTGCCAATTAAACATAAAGGGTGATACGGTCAAAATTTGGTCAATATCAACTTGACGTATTTCTTTCAATTTTGCATTTAAAAAACCTGAACACCCCTCATTTTGAAGGTGTGTGTGTGTAGAATGTTGCTCCTATTTTGATTTTTGAATTCACTCTTCAGTTGTCAAAATGCCGTCCAAGCAAGAAGAGCAGCGTATCAAAATTTTGCTCGCACATCGCGAAAATCCGAGCTACTCGCACGCAAAGTTCGCAAAATCGCTAAAAGTTGCCAAATCAATGTAATTAAAGTGTTTGGGGAACGTTTGTCGACAGCCAGGAAGTCTGGATCGGGGGGAAATCGAAAACCGGAAGCCGCTGAGACGACAAAGAGAGTTGCCGGTAGTTTCAAGCGAAACCCTAACCTCTCTCTCCGAGATGCCGCAAATAAGCTGGGTGTATCGTCTACAACCGTGCATCGAGCCAAAAACCGAGCCGGACTATCGACTTACAAGAAGGTAGTGACTCCAAATCGCGATGATAAACAAAATACGACGGCCAAAGCGCGATCCCGGAGGCTGTACACGACGATGCTGACGAAGTTTGACTGCGTGGTAATGGACGACGAAACCTACGTCAAAGCCGACTACAAGCAGCTTCCGGGACAGGAGTTTTATACGGCAAAAGGAAGGGGAAAGGTAGCAGATGTTTTCAAGCACATGAAACTGTCAAAGTTCGCAAAGAAATATCTGGTTTGGCAAGCCATCTGTACCTGTGACTTGAAAAGCAGCATTTTCATAGCTTCCGGGACTGTCAACCAAGAAATTTACGTGAAAGAGTGTTTGAATAAACGTCTGCTGCCTTTCCTGAAGAAACACGGTTGTTCCGTACTGTTTTGGCCGGATTTGGCATCTTGCCATTACGGTAAAAAGGCCATGGAGTGGTACGCCGCCAACAACGTGCAGGTGGTTCCCAAGGACAAGAACCCTCCCAACACGCCAGAGCTCCGCCCAATTGAGAAATACTGGGCTATTGTCAAGCGGAACCTAAAGAAGACCAAAAAACTGCTAAGCGCGAGCAGCAGTTCAAGGCAAACTGGCTTTCTGCGGCGAAGAAGGTGGACAAGGTGGCTGTACACAATCTGATGGCAGGGGTCAAGCGTAAGGCCCGGCAATTCGGATTTGGAAAAGCGGAAGCCTAACTGCATATTTTTCCTGAATTTTATACGAATTGAGCTTGAAAAAGAAATTTAATTTGATTTTTTAAATAAACGATTTCACCGATTTACACGCGTTTTCCCTTGACCAAATTTTGACCGTATCACCCTTTAACATTAAAATTTAATTTTCTATATCATTCACATTAGGATTGAATACGTCTTCGATATATTTTTTGGTGTACCTTTCATTTGGAGCTTGTTGAGTGAAATCTGGTTGAGAGGTAGGTTTCACATGAGTCTCAACATTTCAATATTTTTCATGTCTACACTAAAAAAAATCATTGATTTTATTCAGTGTGAACACGATAAAGGGTTTGTTAAATAACTTTTTTTTTCTTTAAAAGTGCCCATCTTGAGATATATGAACGAGTTATAGATAAATGGTCTGCCTATCTGTAGACAAAATTTCCGATTGTTAAAAAATGGCATTTTTGAGAAATTTTAATTTTAAATTTTAAACATTTTTTTCTTCAGTGTAGCAATAACATTTTTAATATTTTGGTATTTTATTATGCAAGGACTTGACATTATTGAGTTATAATTTTTTGAAGAAAGTATTAATTTTAAAAAAATCTGCCCTTTTTAAATGTTGGTCTAGCGTTTAAAAAAAAACAAGTATGCAAAGTTGCTTAAGTAGACGAAGTCTACACACCCACAAAGTTTCATTACGGACATGAATGCATCGCGGAGATGTAAAATGTCCTTAATAAACAAACAAACAAAACAAAGTTTCATTGAAATCTGAGAGGGTGTTGCCAATTCCTTTGTCGTGAAATTCACCATAAGCGAAACACGTAAGCGTTGTACAAGTTGTTTACAACTTTTATTCGTAATGTTTTGTAATACTTTAATATAGTCGCTAATAGTTGATTAACCGTAACAAAATGTAGCCAGAACATACCAGAAACTGTAACAGTAGAAATTAGTGTTTCTTTAAAGTTTATTACATTCCATAAACCATAGCCAAAATATTTTAAATAAAGTTAACATAGCTAGTCATTTGTCAGTGAAGTTTAAACTGTTCTAGAAATGGTTATTTTCTATACGGGCTGTGCTCAGAGCTTAAGCTAAAAATAAAATGATGGAGATTTCATGCAATGATTAACATTCATGCTCTGTATTTCTCTGTGAAAAATGCTGTTTGAAATGGAAAACTTTTAAATTTCAAGCCTAAACAGAGTAAAACGTAAAAGGAGCACGCTTCAACCGTTACCAACATTTAGCCAGAAAACGTTCTAATACCACCCAACCATAATGCTGAGCGCTCGTAATTTTCCAACTCCCATCGTCCCAACCCACAACCCTCTCAAAGGTATGACAGGTATGCTCACAGATAAAGTTGGCAACGAGCCTCGAAACATGGTTTCACTTTCAATGCTCGCTCCACCGTAGCACACAGCAACTATTAAAGGCAGACGTCTCGTTCTGAAACATTCACCAAGCGCAATTCCACTTTTATCTGCTGGGATCAGATCCCATCTCTTATATAATACCACAGCGTGACCTTTTACCATCAGATTGTGTGAAATCGTCTCGGCTCGGAAAGGCGACTATGTATGGACCACCCCGCGCAGCATAAATGTTCTTCTACGCCCATAATTGACACAAGCAACTTTAATCTGTATCAGCAGCTCCGCACAGTTCAAAAGGTTTAATTGTTGGTCGTCATAAAGTTATTCGCTCCCGCAGTCGTTCGCCAATGGGTTCATTTGTCTTCTTCGATGGAGCATGGCGACAAAAAAAAAACTAACGGAACCACAAACGAGCTAAATCAATTTAAAGTAATCTGATTTAATTAAAGCCCGTTAAGAGAAAAAAAATTACACACCAGGCACATGGTTGGCAGACGCAGACTTTAAATTAGCAGAAAGGTCAGTGATTCATGCTTGTCGTTCTACGTGACCGCGGCGGAACAGAATGAGTTCTATAACGTCCCAACGCCATGTGGCAGCGACACGCTATGGTTTGGAAAATCAAATTGACCTAACCCAATGCTGCTGCCCAGATGAGGAGCTCATAGGAGGGGGGAGAAATGTAAATGGATGTTATTCGACACACTTGTAACTCCTAAAACGCAACGGGAGGTAAGTGTGGCGTCGCGAAGCGTCGTTTGGTGACGACGGGACGCAACATAAATATATCGTCTAAATGTGTCACTAGTCCAATTAAACCGGTCGGTTTATGAGTGCGTATGGCCGAAATTGGTCCCGGGCCCAGTACAGTGACGGGAATGTTGAGATCCAATTAGCGCTTGGAAGGCAAACAGTTTTCCGCCGTTATTATGGTTTTCGGTAAAAATTGGGATGTTACATTTGGCTATGATGTGTTTTGGCGGGTTAGTTAAGCCGAAGGTTTTTTTTTCAGGTTGGAAAATTAAGGATTGAGTATCCATTGTATTTTCCTCACAGTATATGAATGTATAAAGTGCTCAAAGAACACTTGATTAAGGTCAGACATAAAGATCTAGTTTGAACGTAATGGTCAAGTAGAAGTTAGGTCTAACAAAACCGCTGCAGAGAGCATCCCTATGAAACCCGCTCTCAAATAGAGCTGATGCTGTCCATCGGAAAGTAACAACTCTCGGAAAGCTATCAAGCAGAGCGCTCTTTGAAACCCAACTCGTACATATGTAGGTACTTGAGATTACCCAACTCAACTGGTTGTTCATGTCTAATAAATAATTCAATTAACACATTTCGACAACACACATTTCCAGCATCACACGGCGCATCGCATAAATCCAAACGAAAGCAGCCATTCCGGACCCTTTGCAGACGATAAATTTTCACTGCCTTTGTCGTTGACTGAATGAATTTTGAAGATACCGTTTGTAGGTAATTTATGTATGTGTGTGCACAGAGTTGTGCAATGTTTGCCGCACTTACCTTTATCATTTGCGTAACGGCGGGGTTTTGTAAAATGCCTTGCAGGAATACCAAATCGGTCTCGTTGGCTTCCGATTTCTCGTTCAGATCTTCTAAATTTTCCCGAACATGTTGAAAGGCGGCTGAAAATGACGAAAAGACGAAAAGAAAACGTATGTAAAGCAATTACAATTACGATCCGGCGCAAAAACAACACTATGAATTTAACCGAATCAACATAACTATTTGCATAAAAAATAAAATCAAAATAAACGAAATACCTCTAAACCGATTGTCAGCAGTCGCGTTTCGGAAGGAGAAAAAAAAAGTAAAAATCTTTCAAATACTTCAAAGCCCCGGTAGGAATGTTCACATCGCGCTCTCTCCATCCCCCCTTATGATGGGAAATATCATTTCACACCGTGCGGTGAGACCGCGAGCCAAAAGCCGCCCGCCCGCCTCTACACGAAAATTTAGAACATTATTCAGAGATGATTGTTTGTTTACAATGAAATAAAAAGTAACTATAAACGAAGATACGAACGGCAGGCAGTTAAATCTAATAACCATCCAATTTCCCGCTACCATGCGGCCCGAGGAAAGAGACCGAACTACATTACAGAGTGCGCACCATTGCGAGGATGCGAGATTTTCGTATTCGTTTATTGCCACTTCCGGAAAATCTCTTCGGGAAAATCGACTGTAAAGATTTATCGCCTGTTATTGGAGTGAGGGCTGCATTGTTGCTGTGAAATGTATTTTTTTTATGACTGATCAGAAATTATGACGATTCTTGAATGAAGAGAATGAGTGCCAGAGGAGTCAACTAATCATCTTTATCGAGATGGACACGCTCACGCTGTAGGATATGAGTCAACAGCAGCATCTTAGGTCAGTAGGGCATTGTGGTACAGAGTTAACCAGTCTAGCGCTAATAGCGTGTAAGCTAAAGAACATTACTGTCATCATTAAATTGATTGATGCTATGCTTAAGACAGCCACGCCATCGACCAATGACAAAAATCCCTTTTCTCTTTTGTCAGATGACGAGACTGACTCTGACTTGGCTGAGAAGGGTACTTCTTTCAGTTTTCCGGAAGGTTCTGCACGGTAACGAAAGCGCATCCGTTCGCGGATTGTTGCAAAGAAAGAACCCCAAATCAGTGGTGGAAAAAAGGAGACTTCTACTCCTCCTGGATTCCGCAGAACTGACTATACCCAGGATTTTCCACCTCTTCCGGGGACATCCAAAACCCCTGATGCCCCAATTTTAAGAACAGAAACCCCTTCTTCATCTGGGTTGTTCTCATTTGATGACATTGTGGACGGTATTCTCAAATACCTCAACATTTCTGATCCTCTGAAAAGCACTATCCTCACATTGCTTCCCACTGTGAAATCCTTCTTGAAGCAATTGACTTCAAAATGGCCCCTTCTTGCAGCTATCATCTCCTTCGATGGATAATTTTCCAAACGAGGTCGGGAATTTGATCACTGTTCTACAGTGGAATTGTCGAAGTCTTATTCCGAAATTAGATTCGTTCAAGTATTTAGTCCATAACAATAATTGCGATGCATTTGCCCTCTGTGAAACATGGCTCTCTTCAGAAATTGATCTCCCTTTTTATGATTTTAACATTATTCGACTGGATTGTGAGGATTCGCGTGGAGGAGAGGTACTTTTGGGGATCAAAAGGTGCCATTCCTTCTATAGGGTGAATCTTCCCGAATTCCCCGGTATTGAAGTTGTCGCATGTCAGGCTACCATTAAAGGTAAGAGCCTTTGTATTGCTTCTGTATATCATTACTCCTAGAGTCTCTGTTAATCGCAAACAACTTTTCGACATATGTGCGGTACTTCCCGCTCCATGGTTGATCATGGGAAATTTTAACTCCCACGGTACAGGCTAGGGGGAGCTGTACGATGATAACCGTTCTACTTTGATTTATGATCTCTGCGACAACTTCAACATGACAATACTTAACAATGGAGAAGTAACACGTTTGGCTGGTCCATCCTCGAATGGTAGCAGATTAGACCTCACCTTTTGCTCCAATTCACTATCGTTGGATTGCACTTGGCATGTAATCCAGGATCCGCACGGTAGTGATCATCTGCCGATCAAAATTTCGATTGCCAGTGGGTTCAACTCGTCAGAATCCGTTAACGTCGCGTATGATCTAACCCGTAACATCGATTGGACTAAGTTCCAATCCGCGATAGACGATACAGTATCGTCAGTGGAAGAGCTTCCGCCGTTGGAGGAATATACAGGGTGCGTGACGAATTTTTGCAGTAAATGGCATATTTGAGAAAAAAATACACCAGTTCGTTATTCGAGCAATGAATTTTGTGCGATTTATTTTCTTTCGCAACATATGGAAGTTGTAAGTAAATTTATTCAAAAAAATTGCCTTCCCTTTCGACGACTGTAGTTAGACGCCTCCGGAAACTACAGTATGCACGTTTGAAAATGTTTCGATCCATAGATGTCATCACTGCCTTGATTTTAGCTTTTAGAGACTTAAGTGTGGTGTGAGGGGTTCTATTGGTATCCCGTTGGACGACGCCCTATACAAAATAATCCAACGGATTGATATCGGGACTGCTTGGGGGCCAAATTTCTTCCTCCCAAATTTACGAAATATTTTCCGCAAGCCATTTCTGTGCTTTATTAGCAGTATGAGCAGGTGCTCCGTATTATCACTTTCCCAAGCCTTTTTTAATATTATACACTGTTCTTTCAGACACATTTACCGACCGAATTATTTCTTTCATGCATACTCCGGCGCGCAACAAAGCGACAACGGCTGACAGATTGCTCTCTTGTTTCGACATCTTTACGTTTACTCAACATTGTTTGTTTAAATCTTACACCTAACAGTATAAGCTATCCAGTGGTGCCAAATATATCTAAATCATGATGCACAAGCATGAGAAATTACTATTTGAAATTTACTGCAAAAATTCGTCACGCACCCTGTAATTTCCTCTCTAATCTCATCGTCGACAGCGCACTTCAAGCTCAAACACGACCGGTGCCGCGATCGTCAATCCGTAAGAAAACACCATCGCTCTGGTGGGATCAACAATGCACGGAGGTTTACCGTAAAAAGTCCGACGCGTTTAAACTTTTTCGGAAACGTGGAACACGCGAGCATTTCGACGCATACACATCTCTTGAACGCGAACTCAAGAGCCTCGTCAAGGCCAAAAAACGGGGTTACTGGCGGCAGTTTTTAGACGGATTGTTGCGCGAAACGTCTATGAATACGCTTTGGAGTACGGCGCGAAGAATGCGTAACCAGTCTACTAACAACGAAAGCGAGGAATGCTCGGATCAATAGATTCTTAAATTCGCGCGAAAAGTGTGTCCGGATTCCTTGCCGTCGCAGTTGATTCCTCGCGAAACCGCGAATTCGGTAGACGAAATCAAATTCGATGGTCGAACTTTCACTCGCTCTCCTTTCGTGTGGCAATTCTGCCCCGGGATCTGATAGAATCAAGTTCAACTTGCTGAAAAACCTCCCAGACGTCGCTAAGAGGCACATGTTGAACTTGTACAATCAGTTCTCGGAGCTCAATATTATTCCCGACGATTGGAGACGAGTAAGGGTGATAGCCATTAAAAAGCCTGATAAACCCACGTCGGATCACAATTCGTATCGGCCCATCGCGATGCTGTCGTGTATTCGGAAATTGATGGAGAAAATGATCCTTTTTCGCCTCGACAAATGGGTTGAGACGAACCACCTTCTTTCAGATACTCAATTTGGTTTCCGTAGGGGTAAGGGAACGAACAAATGTCTCGCGTTGCTTTCCTGGGAAATTCAGTTAGCTTTTGCTAAGAAAGAGCAAATGGCTTCTGTGTTCTTGGATATCAAGGGGTCTTTTGATTCAGTATCCGTTGAAGTTCTTTCAAAGAAATTCCACGCTTGTGGATTGTCTCCATTAATGAATAATTTTTTGTACAATTTGCTGTCAGAAAAACATATGAGCTTTTCTCATGGAAACTCTACAGCTTTTTGATTTAGCTACATGGGTCTCCCCCAAGGCACATGTTTAAGCCCCCTTTTGTACAATTTCTACGTTAGAAAAATTGATGTCTGTCTTAGTGACAATTGCACGTTGAGACAACTTGCAGATGACAGCGTAGTGTCTATCACAGGGCCAAAAGAGGTTGACCTGCAAGGACCCTTACAGGATACCTTGGACAATTTGTCTACTTGGGCTATTCAGCTAGGTATCGAATTCTCCACGGAGAAAACTGAGTTGATCGTTTTTTCTAGGAAGCATAGCCCAGCACAACCGAAGCTTCAACTTTTGGGTAAGCCGATCACTCATTCCATGTCTTTCAAATATCTTGGGGTCTGGTTCGATTCCAAATGCACCTGGAGATCCCACATTGAGTATCTGAGACAAAAATGCCAACTAAGGATCAATTCCCTTTGATCAATTTCCTTCGATCAATTACCGGACAACGATTTTATTGGTTTTAGAGTACGGTAGTTTTTGCTTCCAGTCGACGACTAAAACTCACATCATCAAACTGGAACGGATCCAGTATCGCTGTCTTCGTATCGCGTTAGGATGCATGCACTCGACTCATACTATGAGTCTCGAAGTGCTGGCGGGCATGTTGCCACTATCCGTCCGTTTTTTTCAGAGTTATCTCTGAGGCTCCTCACCCGTTGCGAAGTAATGAACCCACCTCGAGCAGGAACGAATATCTCGATACCTTAAATTGGTATAGATGAGTCTGACATAAGAGGTAAAATACCAAAAAATAATACCAAAAAAATGTTCCCACAATACCATTCCAATATCAAATTATGATAATGCAATACCAAAACAATACCATCCAGGTATTCTTTTGGCATCCAAATATCAATTTTTGGTATTCACCAAGTATTTTCCATGTAATTTTTTGGTATTATTCTTTGGTATTTTACCTCTTATGTCATGCTGATCAATACCAAATTTTGGTATCAGATCAGAATGAGGTATTCATTAGTTATTTTCTCCTGCTCGGGACTGGTGATCGAAAACTTTGAAAAGCTTCTGGAGCTAAATCCTCAAACATGTTTTATGACTTTGTACTACCTATATTTAACACAGGATGTCAGCCCTTCAAGAAATATT